TATTACTAAGTTCTACACTAGATGTCATACCTGCAACCTGACTAGGGGGTTACCTATTTAAACTCTCTGCGCCTATGAATCACAAAATTTAAATTCATCCATAATTTAAAACATTGTTATCTAAATAGATTAGAGTTGGAAAGATGAACTTAAGGTATTCATTTATCCGTTGATATGGATAATGCTAGCCATTACGGCGTATTTGCGAAATTAAGCAGACAATTGGTCACCAAATCCAAGTATTTGGTTTCCAAAATTAAATTTTAGTTACCAAATTATATATTAATCAATCAATGTTAAGCCCCGAAAAAAATTTTTGAACCCTTGATCTGTACTGATAATACGTCTAACCCATCTTTCCCACAGGTTAACCTATCTTCCCACTCTCTGACGCATCCCATTAGACACAAGAATTTATTAAATGATACATCATAACTCTTGGAAATATTAATTATCTTAGTTAAAATCTATATTTATATATTAGTAGTCAAATTTTTCAAATTTTGGAGTATTTCGCAAATACGCCGTAATGCATTTATGTATTGTCTAAAATCAGCTGATATAAGTAATTCAATAGAAATTTTAAACCGCCATTTGTTATTATTACTGAATTGGTGTGAAAAAAAATAACTATTTATTATTGGATTGGCAAGTAAGTTGTTTAATAATTTCTCATTAACTTATAGTTGATTGAATCATAAAATTTAAATTACCTCACTTAAAACTTTGAGACATTATTATCAAAATGATATTAGAGTTGGAAAGATGAATATATTCATTTATCTGCTGATGTAGATGATGCTAGCGAAATGGATAAGCATAAATCATTTTACATTATCTGAAATCGGCTGAACAAGTAATTCAATGGAAATTTTTAAAACTTTTACTTGTACAATTGCGAAATTGGTGTAGAAAAGAATGAAATCGAATATTTTAGATTGGCAAGTAAATTGTTAGTTAATTTCTCATTATTACTGTATTATAGTTGATTTAACTATAAAATTTAAATTTATTTATTAGAATTTAATGGCTTGATCGCGTATATAATAAAATTACATAGTCTGGTCTATTTGAAATTAGGATAGTTTAGAGTTAAGCAGATTTATTGCATTTTGTATACTTTTGTCTATTTTTTGGATACATAATCGATTAACATATAAATTTCTCTTATTTTAAGGATCATATTATGTTAATCTGATTCATTACTCTTGATAATATTATACATGCAGTTTAGTTGCATTAAGTTCTTTAATCTTAGAAAAAAAAATAACATTTTTTTTTCTCTCTTTATACTGTTATAGGTGCGTGTATGAAGATACTCGAGCTTGATAGTAAAAAGGATTTTGATGCCAAGGTAGCTGTGATCGATTTTTGGACTAAGAAGATCTTAATCGCTAATGTAAGACCTGAGTTCCTTACTGAGATCCAAAAATTCCCCTTTCCAATCCAAAGACTTATTGCAGAAGAAGCGTATGCAGTTTCAAAAAAGGTGCAAGAAGGAAAAAAGATGCCCAATCTTAAAACAGCCGAATGTTTTTGCAAATTCTTTACCCAGTATATGTTACCTTGTCGCCATATCTTTCATAAACAACTTTGTGGCGATTCCAATATTCTTATGTTGGAAATGTGGTATTACTTTCAAGGAACCTTTAAAGAAAGTGGTATAGAAGTATATCAGTCACGTCAATTGGTGGAAATACTACTAATTCAACGATCAGATGCTGAAAAAACATAGAAAAAAGTAAACAAATTATGAATGAATTGTTTGAAAGAACTAAAGATCAATATTATCGATTGGCTGAAAAAAACGTAGATGAAGCAGTGAAATTCGTTGGAGATTTGGAGAGGTTATTGGAACCTGTAATCGAAAAGAAATAAAGCAAATAAGTATAATTTTTTTGTTCAATATCATAAGTAACATTAATGGAACCTTTGCATTTAATAATATTTTCGCGTCAGTTCATTCACCTCTTGGTAATTAACGCATAAGTAGAAGAACCGTGAATTAATAAAAAAAATCTCATTGATGATAAAATGTGTATATTATTTAACGAATAATAATATATTTATTGGTAATTTAACATGTAAATTAATAAAATAAAATAAATATTTAAAGAATTCTAGTGTACATTCTTTTATAAATAAACTATATACGTACTTATAAACTAGTAATTTAATACGTAACTAAAAGGAGAATATTTAATTCTATTGAAATAAAATATGCTTATTCTTCATAAATAAACTCTATATTTAACTGATAATTTAACGTGTAAAATAATATTTAATAAAGATTTCTATTGAAATAACCGTAATTTAACAAGTTCAAAGAATTCTGTCAATGAAAATGAAAGAAAATATTTAATAGAGTTCTATAATAAAATTATAAACAACCTAAAAACTTACAAACTGGATGAATGTAAGTAAAAAAACGGTGAAAAGTAATATTTAATAGATTTTTATTGACGATTAAACTACAATTACCTCTAACCTAAGCAATAAGGTTTCGTCGTGAAGAGCTTAAAATTGTAAATATTTCACTTGATACTATCTTTATAAAGAATATTATAGGTTTAAATAGTTAGAACGTTAGCGTTATTTCTTTCAATATACTCGAGTTTTGATTGGTCAACAACCACGGAGGTCAATTGACATGCATGTCCCTGGACCATCGCCTGATTGATCTGCCCGCTTTAAGGAACCCCCCTTTTTTGGTTTGTATCATGGTGGGAAATAAGAGCACGCGTCTAGATACTTCCATGGTCTTTATTTTAGAGTTCTAATCTGAATAAATCCGTCACCCATTTATCAACAGAAGCGACCGTTCAAATTCATAGATGATTCTGATATGGTTACATGATTGATAAATAATTTTTTTTATATATTTTACAATATTTTTAAAAGCTCGGGTAGCTTAATTTTCTATGAAACAAGATTAAATTTAACGGATGAATTGATATTTTTGCTTTGCCCTATAACATATTTTTTGAATCCCTGTGAATCACAACTTTTTTTTGCAATCTGATTTGCCGATTTGCTAAAATTTGAGATATCGATATATATAATTGGTTGACAATTAAGTGTAATTATATTGAAATTATCTACAAATTTGAATAGTCACTCCTGTTCCATTTATCCGTATCTGAATTACTGGTGCCATACCTGAACTTCACCTCTTAATAGAAGTCAGGGAACGATAGGTCTATAGTATGAAGACTACGATCTTGTGATTTTAGCTATAATAAAGGCATTAAAAGTATGACTCAATAAAGAGGTTTTACTAGACTTTTATTGAAAGAGGCAACATCTAGGTATATATGAAGATACAAATAGTTGTAATAATATTTGTATAGGATTTATTCAACAGTTAAGTATTGATCGTGAAATTCCTTCACAATAGTCACGTGATCAAGGCCATTATGTCACTTAATGGTTGGATTTGAACTTTAACGTGTATGAAGATACGGAGAACTTTATTATCAATAAAAAGAAATACAACAATAAGAATATAGAAGAATTCAAATATATATAGTAAAAAAATCCATGTAATAATAGCAAGTTTGCTGTAAATTAAGGTAAAATGATTGTTATATATATTTGTTAAAACTAAATAATAATTTTTGTTATTAACTTTTTTTGACTTTGATACTATCATTATCTAAAACCAACTAATTATCTTTTAATTATTTTCTATAAACTTAGTATGAAATAATCCCAAACAATATAAAGCAAAATAAAGTTAGTAAAGCATCAATTAAAATAATATATCATTTATATAAATTAGATAATTATAGATTATAGTTAATTTACAATATGATTTTCCAGTATAACAATTTCTTTTCTACTAAATTATAAGCTTCTGTAAATCAATAATTATGATAACAAATACTAACTTGAAATATTCTATAAATATTATTTATATTAATCAAGCTTTTTCATAATATTTTTTAATATATATAAAAGCATTTGCAGGGTTTTCAAAATCTGATTTTTTGATATATGCAGTTTATAAACATCTTGTATAATATAGATATATACAATATATGGTTCTAGCTATTTTGATAAAAATTTCTCAATATATTAACAAAGTTGGGCTATATTATATAAAAGAATCTTATTGTCTGGTTAAAAAAATTATATTATTTTTTTAAGTTTCTTGTTCTAACAAAACTTTTGTCATTGTTGGGTTATACTAATACAGTATTTTTTTTAGCTATCATATGATTAATTATTAACTCATTTACTAACAGTCAGGGAAGATGTCACATGGTCATATATGTGAGTGTCCGATCATAGTAAAAATGTAGATCACATTTCAGAAATTTACTATGAAATTTTTAGAAAAATTTTATTTGCTTTTAAGTAAACCACATGACTCTTGAGAGATACAAAAATGTCATTATAAGTAACATTATTTCACGAGTTTTTTTCTATTAATAGCAAAAATTTGAATCAAAACTTATATATAAACGGAAAAGGATCTTGGACTCAAAGATTGATAATCTTTTGAAATTCCAACTCTAACAAAAATATAAAGAATCTTTAAAACACAGTAACTAGCCAGTTCTTACGCAAAAGTTTTGGAATTAAATCACTGCTCTGTTATGATTACACTTCTCCAAACCACTTTCGCCAAGATTTGCTCAATACTATAGGTAAAATCTTTTAAGATCTTTAAGATCTTACAAGTAATGATCAAACATTGCCGAAAGCTAGTCTAATATTTCTATTTTTCTTTCTTATACTATGTTTTTTTTTCTTTTTCTCGTCTGAAACTGAAAATCACTTTTTTTTGTAGGCATGAGTTTTGAATTTACATTAGACATTTGAAATTGGGTGTGGTAAGAACTGATCTAAAATAGTTCCGTTTTTTATATGTTCATTTTTTTCCTTAGTTGAAACTAATTCTTTTTTTTGTAGCAGGTAGCTCTTTGCCAACATGAAAAGCATTTATGTATATATATATTTTTTTGGTTTATTTCTATTGAATCTAATTTTTTTGTAGATTTAGCTTTACTGTGAAGTTAGTACTAGACAAGCAGCTAAGAACTTGGAACTGGTTAAATTACAAGTATCAGATTTTTTTTCTGTTGCATTATTATTTTTCTTTTTGGTTGAAGCTAACTCTTTTTTTGTAGATTGGGTTTTGATATGAGATTAGCATCGGGTAATGGATTGGGATATTAGATATGGTTAGAATTTGGAACTGGTCTAATTACAAGTACTAGTTTTATTTTCTCTTGTTCAATATTTTTTTTCTTTTATTTTGGTCGAAACTAATTTTTTTTTTAGGATGGGTTTCAATGTGAGACTAACACCGGGCAATAAAATTGAACACGATTAGCTTAGAATTGTCTAATTATCAATTTTTTCCTACTGCACTGTGTTATTTTTCTTTCTTTTTTGGTCGGAACTAATTTTTTTTTGTAGGTTAGGTTTCATATGAGATTAGCACTAGGAATTAGACACGCTGTAACTTGGAACTGGTCTAATATAAGTATCAGTTTTGTTTTGTATTTTAGTTTTTTTTTTTTGGTTAAATACCATACAGCGCGGACTATAGTACCTTGAATACGATATATTCCATGGCTAAAATCCAAGTTAGTACCCGGGTATTATATAAGAGGTGTATTTACTTAGCAATAACATATACTACTTAGTTAATACCCGGGTATTTCATTCTGTAAAGTACCCGGGTATTTTACATTCAACTGTGAAAAATTTTTATTGAGGATACTTTGATGTGAGGAGGTACTATAGTCCGTGCTGTACAGTATTATTTTTTCTTTTATAAAGTTTGGGTTTCACGTAACTAAAAAAACAATAATTACTTGGTGAGTTTGATGTTATTATTTGTGGGAATGGCCCAAGGGTTGAGAAAGGCAAACTTGTACCAGGTATATTTAGCACTATTTAATGAGAATTTGTCAAAAAAGGCGAAAATGATGTATTATTCAATCGGTGTATCATTATATTCTTATTTATAAATTAACTATGTATAATTTTATTTCAAATTATATATAAATAAAAATAATTAATTATAGTGATAATTTGATTTTATTTATTTTTCTTTTTTGTAATAAATAAAAAAATAAAATACATTTTTTGAATCAAATATTATAATATAGTTATAAATATTATAAATTCTATTGTGATTTTTTTTAATTCGTACGATATACTTCTGATAGCCGTGAATATGTAATAAAAAGGTCTCTCTTTGTTCGAAAGTACACAAAATCTAAACAGAGTAATAGGCATAAAATTTGTATTTTAAAACTATTATAAAATATTATTTACTCCTCATTCAAAAAGTCTTATTTATCATGGTTTGCAAAATGATATATCTTTGATCAAATTTTGCATATCGCAGCTTGCATATACAATCACCTCAATTGTTGTCTGATTAATTATTTTACTTGTATTAAAATTTTGATTATTGCGGTTTGCAAAATTATATGAAATTTAAAGATCATAAAAAAAAATAATCACCAATTTCTGATTACTGATTTCCGATTATATTTTTTTTGACTTTTAGATTATACAAAATTTTGCGTATCTATTTTGTAAAAATTTATTATTTTTTATAAAAATAAAAGTTGCTTATTCATCATTTTGTAATATAGGGTCTTTGCCTTGAAAATCTCCTTCCGATATTTCCTATCAAGTCATATTCATATATTAATCATCTTTTACATTGGTTCAATAGTTATTTGATCAACTATTAAATTAAATCAATAA